TTCGGAGATGGAAAACAAGGGAAGATCATTGGTAAAGGAACTCTGGAATGTGGTGGAGTATCCAAGCTAATGGATGTCAAGGTCGTACAGGGCTTAAAGGCTAATTTGATCAGCATAAGTCAACTATGCGATAATGGTATTGAGGTGAAATTTACAAAGGATGCATGTTTTGTGACCAATGCGGTTAACAAATGTGTTTTAACTGGGCAAAGGACATCAAGCAATTGCTATACATGGGTTGACAGCCAGATTTTCAGAAACTCTCTCAAGGATCCTAAGACACTGACTCAGAATTGAGCAATCGAAAGCTCAGGTATGGTTTTGAATTTATGCTTATGCACAGAGGGAGAAATGGCTCTGAAGGTATATGGTCATACACATAGGGGGAGAGATGATACAAGAAGAGAATGATCAGAAAGGTGTATGGTTAAAGATGCTGAGCGAATATGCATGGTTGAAATCGTTGAGGATGATATCGAAGAGCCAAGTGGATGAATTTGTGTTCAAGTATAAGTGTGTATAAGCATAAAGTCAAAAAGGGGGAGAATGTTAATGCAAGGAAAGAGCACCAAGAGAAGATTCAACATCTAGAAGATCTCAGATAAAAAGAGAAACATGCCAATATAAAGAAAGGGAAGGAACAACCAGTAAAGGAATGACTTGCAAGAGAAAAGGAAACATGCCATTGAAGAAAAATGGAAAGAGTAAGCAAAAGGAATGAAGATAAAGAAAAGGAAAAACAAATATGATGAAACGAAATGGAAACCCTATGCAGGAGGCTGAGCATAAATACAGAGGCATGCACAATAGAAGAGATCACCCAAGGAAAGAGAGAGTGTTTGAGTCGTGAAAGCTTTGGGCATAAACATATTTGTATGGGAAACACGGGTGAGTGATACTTGAGATAGAGTGAAGTGTATCTGAGGGGGAGCCTTCAAATAACAGGCGAACCGCTCAAAGGGCCTAGACGAGTCTAGGGTTACACGGGGTGTGCGAGGCACACATAGTGTATGAGCTGATAGAATTCATGTTGTAAGGGGGGAACAAACTCAGGGGGAGTTGTGTTCTTGGGATGGATTAGGCTCGAACAAAAAAGAGTTGTAATTCATTTTCTTTACAAATGAATAGAATCAGTTGGGAAGTTGTTGAAAGCAATATCGTGTGAGTTTACTTTTTCAATATATATATATATATATATATAAGATTAATTGATATACAAATTCGAATCCTTGAACGTTGACCTACTCAATATTACAGTTGACTTTGCTATCATGCTGCTCTTTTCTTTTATAATAATTCGATTCTCACCCACCATTTTTGGAGCATCCATATATACAACTCAATCAGTCCAACCTTTTTATTTATTTTTATTTCAAAATCACTGAAATATCAAAGCAATTTCCTAAGTACCGCATTAATAAATTAATATATTGAGGTATATTGTGAACCAATAATTTAAACACTTAGTTGTTTTTATAATATATCTAAAGTACTACACCACACGATTAGTATTTGTTAAAACTGAGTATTATATCAAAGTTTTTCTTGGATAACAGGATATTTTGGATCAAGAGAAGATCTAAATTAATCTGAGGTCGGAAGTCAACTATGTGATTTAAATTATATGTTCAGATTCCAAATTTAAAGTTCGAATTCAGAACAGAACAAACGTTTTGTGTCCATTTGATCGGATGAACTATCCAAGTTTGAGTGGTATTTATCAAATATATATATATATATATATATATATGGGATGTAAAGCAAAAGAATAATCACGATGATGATGAGAAAAAAATGTTTTGGTACTGGTCAACATAAATTGTATGGACCGACGCCATCATGTAAAATAGTGTAGACCGATGCCATCATTTGTTTTGATTTTTTTTAGAAATCTGCAACCTCTTAAATTATAACGAAAATTACACACTAATATATTGCATTTTACGGTATATATAGAGAGAAACGTTTTTAAATTCAAGGTAAAATCTAAAAAAAAACATTAAAACTTTCAAATTTTGACAAAAAAACACTAAATTTTTTATTTTATCAAATAAACAATTAACTTTTTAAATATGACAAAACAAATAGTTAACTCTTATACGATTGTCAAAATAAACAAAATGACTGATGTGGAACAAGAAGATGTAAACACGTCAAATTATTTTACTTAGTTTTTTTGACAATCGAAAAAAGTTCATATATTTTTTTGGATCATTAAAAAAGTTTTTTTTTGGATATTTTGGGGTTTTTCCTTAATTCAATAAAAATACTTTTGAAAAAAATGAAAACTAACAAATAGTCACCGTAAAAAACGCACATGAAAGTAAAACACAAAAGTATCTTGTCTAATAACGTCCAAACATATATATATTTGGCAAAGACTGTATACTGTCATTTATCTTATATAAGATTGAGTGGTTTGGTCAATGGTTCTTTGGTCATAGATTACATGTAAATCGTATCGTCATTGATTTCAAACTTGTCATCATCGATCTCTATATAACCATCTTTCACTGCCAATAGGAAGAGTGTAACCCAAGTAACACCTCCTCCTTATAAAAGCTCTGTAAGTCGGCAGAAAATATCCATTAGAGCTTCAAGAACTCATCCATGGCGAAAAAGGCCAAGTCGGGTTTTTTCTCTTCTTCTCCTAAATCTCTACTTTCTTCTTCACCCATGTCGAAAATGGCGAAATCGGGTTTTTTCTCTTCGTCTTCTCCTATATCCCTCCTTTCGTCTTCCAGCCAGACCTTTTCTCAGTCGATGATGGAGGATACAGTGGATTCCGCGGAAGAAGTCATCAGGAAATGGGACACGGAATCTTTGACCTACACGAAGATCGTCTCTCTGTTCCAACACTCGAGGAGAGAGGCCAAGGAGTTCATCAGATCCGTCTGGGAATTGCGCAGAGCGATGAATTTCCTCGTCGCTCACCACTCTCACTCTGTTAAGCTCGTCCTCGCCCAGAACCTGATGCAATCCGCGATGGCGAGGCTCGAGAAGGAGTTTTACCAGATACTGTCAATGAACCGGGACCAGCTCGATCCTGAATCCGTCTCTGGTCAATCTTCAAATGGATCGAACAATTCTGAATTCGAATATGATTTGGAAAATGTTTATGATGGCGATGAGCTGAAGAAGGCCGGCGAATCGATCACGGAGGTGGAGAAAGCCTCGGCCATGGCGATGTCGGACCTGAAAACCATAGCGGAGACGATGATCAGTTGCGGATATGGTAAAGAGTGCATAAGGATTTATAAGCTCATCAGAAAGTCAATTGTGGAGGAAGGGTTATACATTCTTGGGATCGAGAAGTATAAGATCTCTTACATTCATCATAGATCCGAATGGAGCGATCTCGAGCACATGATCAAGAACTGGATCGAGGCTGCAAAGATTGGCGTGAGAACACTCTTCTTCTCTGTGATCATGTATTTTCTGTTTCGAAAACAATAAGGGAGTCATGCTTTTACGAAATAGGAAACGAAGCAGGAACCAACCTTTTCAGGTTTCCCGAGCTCATCACCAAGGGGAAAAAGTCGCCCGATAGGATCTTCCGGCTGATGGATCTGCACAGTACGATCTCCGACCTCTGGCAGGACATAGAGCTGATATTCCACTTTGACGCAGTCTCAACTGTTAAGCTTCAAGCTCTCTCATCAATGGAAAAACTTGCTGACTCAATCCGTACCCTTCTCGTAGAATTCGAGTCGACAATCCAGAAGGATTCGTCAAAGACCGTGGCACCTGGTGGAGGGATTCACAAGCTAACCAGATCAACAATGAGTTTCATATCGTCGCTGTCTGAATACAGCTGCGTCTTGTCTGGGATCCTTGCACCTCATCCTCTCCCGAGGAACACCCGCTCGTTAGAAACTTATTTCGGGAATCTAACATCAGAAGATGAGCCAAATCGGATAGTCTCAGTCCATCTAGCTTGGCTTATCTTGGTTCTTTTATGCAAACTAGACACCAAAGCCGAGCTATACAAGGATGTGTCTCTGTCCTACCTCTTCCACGCAAATAATCTTCAATTCACCGTTGACACAACTCGTTCATCTCAGCTGAGGAATCTCCTCGGGTATGACTGGATCATTAAGCATGAAAACAAAGTCAGAACCTATGCAGCGAATTATGAGATAGCAGCATGGGCCAATGTGTTTCTCTCTTTACCAGAGAAAACAGTAACTCTATCATCGGA